CACTTTGTTTCAGATTGGAATACTCGCAAACCATACCACTTGAGCTTCGAGTGCATCCGACGGAAATCCAAACCTCGGACACGAACGTGTAGTGCTGCATAATCGTATACGGCGTAATGTGCCAGCTCATTTTATTTTTCATTGCGTGTGCGTGTATGTGATTGAGCGTATGTACGTGTGTGAAAAAAACGTTGCTCCTCAAATTTCCCTTTCTCTTTCAGTCTTATAGTTACTCTTTCCCTAGCTACATAATATGCAATCATCATTGAACATCATTATGTTGTTTATTTTTCTGTGTTGTTATTTGATGTTGTTGACAAGTGTCCTTTGAGAGAATTTTTATGCTCTGATTATTACACATCTGCATGTATGTGTAAGCCAACAGTAATCTTCCTAAATATCATTTGTACCATATGATGAAAAAAATGAAAAGTAAAACAAAATTACATCTCAATCTTTTACTGCAAGCTACATGCACTATGTCTTGACACACAATCATGGACAACATCAGTATTTTTTGGTTCCAGAGCACCCTCGCCAGGGAAGGCCCAACAGTTTGGGTCAAACAGTTCAGCGTTTTCCGATGTATTACAAAAGAAATGCAAGTGTTAAAGTGTTACATACTTGTTAACAAAAGAAATATTGAAAGAACTAAATAGAAAAAAGATTATATCGTCGCTCCTAGAGAGCCTGAAAGGAGTACAGAAGCAGAGTAGCCCGTGTCCAGGTCTATTTTCACAATAAGGATTCTCCAACAAGCTTGTCATCTCTTCAACACCAATCTTTTGATACCTCGCTTCAAGAAGGAGAGAGTGTAATGTCTTTGACCTTTAATTGGCAGATCCTTCCAACTAACTGTTCATATGAAACAAAGAGGTTTTCAAAGAAATTTACACCTGCGAGAGTTAGCCGAACGCGGTACGCGATGGTATAGGGTGTCCCAAAAGTTTTGAGAAAATTTATTTGGTTTGTTCAACACAAAAATACTACAACAAAAAGGTGAGATCAGTAATCGAGATAGTGGCCCTCTTTAGCCACGACGTCCCTCCATCGACTGGGCAGAGCACTGATGCCATTCATCCAGAAAGAAGAAGGGCGTGAAGCGATCCATTCATCCACTGCATGTTTGACCTCCTGACGATTGTTGTATTTTTTCCCTTTCGTGTAGGCCTCCAGGCTTCTGAAAGCATGGTAGTCACAATGACTAAGATCAGGTGAATATGGGGGG